CCTTTCCCTCCTTTCTCCTCATTTGAAAGTGTCCTTACTTACTTTAGATTTGTATTCAATGTATCAAATCGGATCTTGAAATCGGCCCAGTGAATGGTTGATCGGAGCTCTTTCTTCTTTTTCTATTTCCCCTATAAAATAGTAAAATATTCCTTACGTGTTCCTTGATTTCAAATGTAATGACCGTGTCTCCCCTTTAGAGGCTATCAAGGCTGTCAAGGTCTGAAGAGAGGTAGATAGTACTTAGGCAATCTACTTTCTCGGTAGTTACTGCTCAGGAAAAACTGTATCATGCATACAGTGGAACTCGTTTTCACGAGGTCGCCGGGCCTGACCTAAAATCTCGTTAAATCCGAGTGTTCGTTATAGCAAACATGAAGTTTTGTGTACATAATTACAGGCACTGAGCAAGTAATGTATAAAGAGAAATAACAAGTAGTGCCTGAAAAGCTTGCATATGAGCTGTGTCCAAAAAAGACCGATTCGTTCAAATGCCTGCCTGTATCATCTCGATTGTTTGCCAAAAAGTTGTGTTGCTGTGTAGAGCCTAACATACAGCGACTTTTGATTCCATAGACCAGCTCAGAATTCAATACGTATATCTACGTCAAGACTAGCTTATCATTGTAATAATGACCAGTTGCCGGGGGGAAAAAGACTGACGCGTTTGTATCTGCGACGTTCAATGCCTAGACCGCTGGTGCCACCACCCCCTCCCCCAACACACACACACACAGTCACGTGTGTGCAGGCCGCCCATCCGACCCCGACACATGCTAGAGTAGACATGTGCGCATGCCAACAACGCATGTGTTGGTATGAAAAAAGGCAGCTGATTGGTCGCTTGCAATCGACTAAGTGAATAATGACTCACGATGCAGGTGCAATGGATGGTTTTCTAGAACAGAGTAAGTTTGTTCGTTCTGGCTGAAAAATGAGCGAAGCCACGTCTGCGGGGGCTGTTCACCCTGGAAGCGACCTCGTTGAATCCGAGCTTGCTGATTTAAGTGCTCGTTGAATGTGGGTTATTTTTATTAATTTTAAAGAAGAAAACAAACGGGGAATCTATCTCCTCTCGTTGAATCCGAGTTCTTGTTGAATTCGAGCTCGTTGAATCCGAGTTCGACTGTACTGAAGATCACTGTGAAGATGCAAACGGTCAAACCTTATAGGGAGTGTCCACATACGCGTTCGGGTCTGGTCGGGCCTATTGGGTCGGGGTTTCAGTGCACACTACAGCCCCGCGCGATTGTATTCGACGACCTGGAAGTTAAAGTAGAGAAACCTTTAACCTACATGCGACTACACAGAGGGCGTAAACCCGGGCTACGATTGGCTGAACCTTTAACCCATGAAAACATAAAAATATGCCTACCGTACTCTTGGACTGTGTGTGTGTGTGTGTGTGAGTGTGTGTGTGAATGTGTGTGTGTGTGTGTGTGTGTGTGTGTGTGTGTGTGTTCGTGAGTGCTTGCTTGCTTGCTAACTTGCTTTAGTCTACGCGTCCACCAAAATAAGATCATTTCCAGGCCAGGCTAATGTACAAAGTTTTTGCATGGTGTAGAAGCGACTCAAAAACATTCGCGTCCACCGACATCAGACCAGCTAAACCTATTTTTAGCCCAGTGTGTTATGATTATGAGACCAACAGACAGCACTGGAGATTTATTTACCTCTTTAAAAAACTAAAAAGCAACAAGTTATAATTATGGGAAAAATTGTTGGTAAGTTGGGAGGATGAGAAGGGAAAAAAAAAAAAAAGCTCGGGCTGGGATTCGAACACACGCTCACAAAATAATACTTCGCGTTTTAAACGCAGACACACTGTTCACTCGGCCATCAGAACTGTCATCAACGAGGGGTAGATTAAGCTTCATAACAGCACTGTTTCAGGAAAGGCAAAGCGACATAATAAATCGAGATGTAGATCTAGAATCTAGGGCTAGATCTAGTGGACCTGTAGATAAGGTCTGGAGAAAACTAAAAATTGGCGGAAAATTGGAAGCACTAAACATTAGAGAACGTAGATCTAGACACGTCCTTAGCTAGATTTTTGGTCTAACATGGCCTATTTTTAGCCCTCCTGAGAACGAAATAATCTAGATCTAGATCTACGTCAAGTGCTTTGATTTCAGTTTTTCTGCTGTTTTTCAGCACAAATCTGCTATTGTACAACATATTATAATGAGATACAACTTTATTGATCATGTAAAGTGCAATGAAGAAGCAAAAATGTACTTAAAGATGCAAATTTCCTTCCAAAATGAGTCGAATCGAGGCCAGAGTATTACTTAATGTATTCATGGGTCAAAATGGACACGTGACTCAGCCTTGTTGTGATTGGCTGCAAACCACCCGATCACGCGATTCGCAGGCCAGAAAACAAACGCGTTTGTTTTTGTAGGTCACCGATCGTGTCGATCGGTTGTGCCATGATGGCTGCTTTGCGCCCACAATTTGGCTAGCCCTGACTACCCGATAGGCCCGACCCGACCCGACCCGACCCGATCGCGTATGTGGGCATCCCCTATTAGTTTTGATCTATATTTTTTTTGCCAAATGTTGCCATTACTCTGCTTTTTCAATGTAAACCACAACCTGTCGGAACAGCTTGCTGTGGAATTAAACAAAATCTGCTCTGCATCCATAGATAAATGTGTAGCCTTCATGGTGTATGTGACCTCTGTGCATTATGTCGACTTCTCAGGTTGACTGTATTGTGTCTACTGCGGGAGGAATTGAAGAAGATTTCATCAAGTGCCTGGCGCCTACGTACCTGGGAGACTTTTCCCTCTCTGGCCGCACGCTACGCAGCAAGGGCATCAACCGCATTGGTAACCTGCTGGTGCCCAACTCTAATTACTGTCTATTTGAGGACTGGCTGATGCCCATTCTGGACAACATGCTGCATGAGCAAAAAGAGGTTAGTGTGAACAGAACATTTGTACACGGCTGTTTTTATTGGTAGTTTATTGATACAGCTGCTGGGCTCACATCAGTAAGGTTATTGGGTCTAATCTTGCTCTTGGCCCAATGCTGTACTCTTAGGAAAGGCATTAACATTACCCACATTTTCCTCATTTCACCCCAAAGGATGGATCCATGACTAAGACAGTGAAATGTGTGGCTGTTATTATATAAGTATTTGAGCATGTGCACAAATGCAGCTTGCATGGAATGCTTCTCTGGAAGCTGAGAATATTTTATGGCAATGTTATAGGATCTGTCGAAATAGTACTAAATTGTAAGAAATATAGAGTCTATTGGCTCCTTCCAAGCTGGCACACCTCAACAGTTGCCTCATGAAGTTTTAGTATGTGCAGCATTTAGGGACTCACACATTTTAAGACCTTTTCTCATGTGTATAACTACTGAAACCTGGGGGTTTTGTGTACCTTGAAAGGGGTTAGGGCCAATTGTATATATGGTAAGAAACCGGCAAAATCTTTTTTAAAAATCCGCCTTTTTTCGTATGTCATGTGTCCTTCAAAAGCAAGTGCCTGCATAGAAATAATGCCCTTAGATTCTAGGTTACTAGACCACCGAGACAACCTTAGTAGGAAAGCTGACACAGCTAAAAAAAAAGTTGATATTGGACCTACCTGTGGCACCCTCCAATCACCCACAGCAATCAAGGTCTGTACAAAGTCAAAATGTGAATTTTTTTTTGCCAGTGCATGACATTAATACTTTTTTTTACCATTGGTTTGTTGTCCCTTCAGGTTTTAATTCGGCCTTTGAAGCAGAAATCTCAGAGATTTATTTTAAATGTGGGAAAAATTCAATGTGGTAATGATTTACAGGTGAAGCTGATAAGTAGGCCTACAAGTGAGTGATAAGTTGTCACATGAAATGAAATGACGAATGTTTTTGTTCTATTGTGTGCTTTGCAGACCGGCACTCTGTGGACCCCATCCAAGATGATAGCCCGACTGGGCAAGGAGATCGACAACCCAGAGTCTGTCTACTACTGGGCGTACAAAGTGAGTTTTGTCCTGCCAACTGTAAATTGTTCATTTTGTGGAAGCCTTGTAATAATAATAATAAATAGCATTTATACTGCGCATTTCCATTTCCTAAAAGATGCTCAATGCGCATTACAATGAAAAAGACATCACATCTTAAAAATTAATCGACACAAATGTGTACGTAAAACAAAGTATTATACATATAATATAAATGCATATGTGTAAAATTTTATACCAGAAAAACAGTGTCGCAGTGAGGTAATCATATTTAATACAATGTCAAATAAGTGCTGCTTGTCTTTTGTGTATACTTGTGTGTTTCTACTTATTCTCTCCCCAAATCCATCAGATATACATAAAGAAAAAGAGAGCAGTCAATGAAGTGTATTGATCAAGCAAAGGGGGATAAAGTGGTGTCAGAAATCTAGTGGTTATGCTACCGAACCTTGAATCATAAGACTGTGGGTTCAGGAGTTTGAGTCTCAGTTTGCTCTGATGTTTTGACTAATGTGATCTTGCACGACTTTTCCTATTAGCTTGGTTCTATCGGAGGTAGACATAAGGTTTTGAGGTCCCGCCCCTTAAATAACCTACCTTACATTTATTTATTTCTGAGAGGAAGAGAAATGAAGAAGAGCAAGAGAGGAGAAAGAAGAAGAAGAAGAAAGTGGACATAGGGTCACTCATAAATTAGAGTTCAGTATCTTTGGCATACTTAGGGAACCTGAACAAATGAGTGACAGGGAAAGATCAGGGAAACGTAGCTTTTTTGAAAGCATCCGAGCAGAGGAATGAATGGAGAACCATGATCGCCGATGTCTGTCGCAGATCTGGCACTGGATGATGAGGATCTTTGGCATGAATGAAAGGTACACCTAGGTCTAGGCCACACTTCCTCCTTTTCAGACTATAGCCAAAGATAAACAGAATAATACACTATGATTGATTTTTACATCTTCTCTTTCTTTTTTTCTTTTGACTAGAACAACATTCCTGTGCTGTGTCCGGCACTGACGGACGGTTCAATTGGAGACATGATCTACTTCCACTCGTACCAGAAGCCAGGCCTGGTGGTGGACATTGTGGATGGTATGTCACTGAACATTACTTGAGTTGTGGTTGAGATCATGTAGTTTGTATCAAGCCAGCACAACAGAACAATGGACATTTTTTTTAAAACCAGAAACAGATTGGTCCAATAGAAGCATACAAAAGGACTTTTGAGCAGATTTCCATGGATGGGGGGTGGGTTGGATAGGAGGGCAAAGGACAGGAGAAGATATAGGTACCGCAAGCTGTCTGTGTGTCCTGTGGCGTACGGTCACGGAGACCGAAACCCATATTTTTACCTTCCTAAAATACCGTGTGATCATGCATACACACAGACACTTGATATATCAGAAGAAAGAGGAGCGTTTCTACTTTTTAGAGGCATTTTTTATTTGAATCAATGATTCTTTTGAAAGCAAAATCTTGTGGGATAAAAGACAACACTATCGAGGTTTTCACTGCAGCAACCGCGCGTTTCGTTCATCGATTTTTGAGGTGACCTCGGTTGAACAGGAACGGAGAGCGTATGGTATTAATTCTTGTCCTGCGTCTGTGCTGAGATGCGAATTTTATCAGCAGCCGATTACGTTGGACGTTTCGGGCAGGCCGCCGGGGTCACTCAGTGTCTACTGTTGGTGTACAGCGCACGCGCCGGGAAACCTGTGTTTACACCATGAATACCGTGGGAGTGTGTCAATCGACGATGAAAATAACGCTCTATCTTCCATAGCTTTCTGTTTATAAAGTGTTACAAACACATGAATTACCCCCTCTCATAAACTGATAAGACATTACGAGTAGTTACGTCCATTCGAATAACCTTTCCAGACGCTCTTGCGTCAATTTCCGAATGTTGTGCACTCAAATTGTTCTTTGTACCTTCACAATGGTATTCAGAACGATCAAATAAGCTTATTTTTTATCAGGTAGTATTATTTCATACAAAATCAAGCTCATTTGAAAGATTTTGTATAGAAAAATGGAAGTCTTGTTTCCTGACTGTCCTTTCGAGCTCCTCATGTCTAAGTGGTCAATTTGCTCTATAATTTCATTGGACGAACATCTAGAGCTACCAACTCTGCATCTTTTCAATGAGACGTATGCCTCGGTTACGAACCAACGCAGGCGGTTCAAGAAGAAGGACTCAAACACACACAAACTCAAGCAGACTGACGCACACACACTTGAGCTATGTGAATGCGGATCCGACTCGGGACCCGAATTCAATGAGAGATGGTGCTCGGCGCGCGTGCACTGAGCCAGGGGCGAGACTGACGCGGGACCAGAACGCAGGCGAGGTGCCGAAATAGGCTTGTCGGGCAACATAAACCCGGCCCCTGCAGGACGAGGGTTAAATCAGGGTCCCCACCAGGTCGGGAAATCAGGAAAAAGTTGGGAATTTTGAGATGGGTCGGGAGGTCGGGAAAAAGTCGGGAATTTTGTGATGGGTCAGTAAGTCGGGAAAGAATAGAGCCTGTGTAATATTAGTAGTGTAGCAATCCAGACAGTGTGGTTGATTAATCATGAAGAGAAAACATAAATGAACCGCTATGGTGGAAGTGTATGTGCGACACCGAGGCTCGATCGGGAAGAATCAAGATCTACTTTTGCTTTCGTTACCACCCAGAAATTTTCCGGTAATAGTCTGATAGATAACGTTACATTTGTAACATGCAGGTTGTGCATTACGAACGCTGTGTGGCCTTGAAAATAAATCAATAATATAAATTTGTCCTCTGCTGTCACTTGTGTAAAAAAAAAAGAAAAAAAAGTTGTACAAGCGTCTTGTCAGGTTCGCCCTCGGGACCGGTCAATGAACCTGTGAGTACCGGCAGTCTGAGCGCTGTGAAGTATTAGACTCCAGAATGGGTTTGGGGGGTGGGGGGGGGTATTTAAAAAAAAATAAGATACACTCAGGGAAGGGGATGGGGGGTGGGGGCTGAAGACTACGCTAGAGGTCAAAAACTGAACTTGGAAGCAAATTTTTAGTATTTAGAATTTTGATAACTACTATAAGAGCTCTAGGCAAAGCGCGTGTTGGTGCAGGCCTTGTGCGGAATCGGGATCCGTCATGCCTTGTTATAGAACTAAAGTGTTCGTGTTTCATTGGATGGGGTGACTAATTTATATTTCAGCTTTCTGTTCAAGATTGGCAGAATTTCAGTGTCACTGCATCTTGCCCTCTCTCAGTTCTGACTCCTCTCACACTGAATAGGTCTACTTGAGCCATTCAAGTTATTACTAATATTACTCTACTTTGAGTTTGAGCAATAGTTTTCGTCTTCTCGTTTATTATATGAATCATGACACCCAGACTGGTTATTGACTGTCGATATTCTTGTTCTAGGTCTTTTCTCAGGTTCAAAACGTGATTCGTTTTTTATATAGGGCCTATAGTTTATGTAGGCTAATATGATGAGGGGAAAATATAAATACATGTAAGTAAGAACAGACTGAAATACCAAAGTCACACAAGATCCCAGTGCCACACTGACATGTTGACTGGATATAATGTACCTGTGTGTGTGTATTCACAAACATATACATATAGTATATTATATTAGATATAAATGGTGCGTGTGCTGTCATTGTTATGTTAGATGCCCCTGGAAAATGGATGAGCCCGGGAAAATTGAGAAGCTGGGTAGCAGTCATCCAGTATTATAATCATCTATTGTTTGAATGAAGACTCTACTACAAAATGTATATTTGCATTCATCTAAAGACATTTTGACTTAATATCATTGATAGATAGGCTTTTTGGGGATCATTCTTGACGCGCTGCAGCCTGATTTTTCCCTCGAATTGGGGTCTTGAAAAAAATTTCCAGGATTTGGTGGGGACCCTGTTAAATACTGCAATCTGATTCGTCGATATTTCAAGATGAGAAAACGCTCTTTCCGGTGATATATTTCTAAAGACTGTCCTTAAAGAATTTATAGTAGAGATTTGCATTTGAAAATATTCGAAGCTGTTTTTTTTTTGGAACCAGTGATCAGACTGACTACAGAAATATATCGGCAGAAAGCCCATTCATTCCTCTTCCAGAAAAACACAGCAATTATATGAACACAAATAACGGACGCTCTCCGTCAGCTCGCAAGCAGGGCACCATCGGCCCAGTTTCGTATAAATTCTTTCTCCTTCCCGTCGGCATGGCCCGGCGCACAGCCGATAAGCCGGTGGTCGCGAGTGGTGATTTTCCACCGCCCCTTGTAATTCTTGCCATTTTGATCAAAAAGCCATGTTTACGTCAGTAAATTTCCATCTTCTGTTTATATGATAACTTTGAAAAAAAATTGGGCTTGTTCTCTTTGTGCATGGGTGTGTGTTTACAAGTTTTTGCGAATGTCCTTAAGAATGTTATGACATCTCAAAGTGCCGACATTTCGCAATTTAAAGAATAGAGCATTTTTCTGCAACTTCAGATGTTCTTAACTTTGTTAAAAATGAAGCTATGTATAAATTTGGCATCAAAATGCTCAGAATAATACATTCTATAAGGTGGTGCAGTTAACTATGAAATCAGAGGACTTTGAAATTTCAGTTTATGGTACCTAGAAGATAATGTAGTTGTTTGTGGATATTTATGGTCTCTGGTCAAAGCTGTTAAATAATATCTCTGTCTCTGTTTCTCTGTCTCTCTGTCTGTTTGTCTCTCTCTCTCTCTCTGTCTGTGTGTGTGTCTCTCTCTCTCTCTCTGTTGCGACTGAAAGGTGGCCATTGCTGTACATTGCTATTTCCTGTGCCTGCCTTGCCAGCATCTGTGCTGTCAAAAAATATTTCAGTATGAATATGATACATGTATTCATGTCACAGAGATGTTATCTATTAATACTATTATTTTGTGTGTTTTGTAGAGTTCACTGGAATCATTCTTTTATTGCATATGTGTGTGCAAATATCTACATAGTTGTGTGTGTTTGGGTGTCTTGCAGACCTTCATATGATCAGAGGTTGTTGGTTTGTTTATTTGTTGCTTTTTTGTGGGGAGGGGTTTGTATGGCAGAATTGGTCTCATCGGCCATGGCAGACGAGACAAATCATCTTAACTGTAATTCTTCTTATTCTTTAATTCTTCTATTTCGTCTAAGAAATATTATTTTTCTACTGCGGATGTATTGGTCATTGTCAGACATTGACGGACAAACTCTTCTTCTTATTATTATTATGTTTTGTATCTTGTAGATTTGTATTGTCAAATTTCGGTGACTTTCCAGACATCCGCATGATGAACAGCCAAGCGGTGCACGCGGTCAACTCAGGGATGATCATCCTTGGAGGCGGGCTCGTCAAACACCACACGTGTAACGCTAACCTTATGGTAAGTCTGGGATGACCTAGTGCTGCAGTTATGTTGTATGGACATCTGATCATGGTTTTGAGCTCAAGGTTATGAACCCAATGGAAGCTGGGTTAGCAACATTGGCACAATATTATGTACAGTTATTTATGTGCTGTAAATTGTAAACAAGTTGTGCTAAATATTCTGTTTATCTGAATCGCTGTGCCCTTTTTGAGCTGGATTGATGTAGTGCATTATATGCATCTGTTCTCAAGATTTTCAGAAAATTGTTGTGGGTTCAGAGTTTACTTTTTAAAGATTTTAATAGAAATCTCGTTATCGCTAATGCCAAGTAATGTTGAGGGGTAAAAGTTTTCAGGCTAAAGCTGGATATCAGGCTTTAAAAAATTTCCCAGCTCTTTGCCATGAGCAACATTTTTTTTTTCAGGATAGAAACTTCAGGCATCCACTCTCTATACTTGCTGTCAAATCTGCAAGTTAGACCAAACACTCTCAAATGTCTGTTGGTTCACTGTTCATTCTTCTGTTTAATGTAAAGAAATACAAATTGAATGTCCTAAACACTTACTATGTGTATTTGTTCAATGTTAATTCTTACAATTCATCTTAAGAGTAGAAATGTGAAATTTTTCCATTTTGTTTCCTTGTGCACCTACACACTTAAAAATGTTCAGGATTTGTTTGTCAGCAGCCTTTCTTTCTCCAGAGAATATATATCGCAGCTTTGTTCTGTTATTAACGTATGAACGATAATTATTTTTGTCTTAATTGTCTCTTCTTTAGATATATCAAAGTGTATGTTAATTATGTAGAGACAACAAATTTTAACAGATATAAAATATATGCTTGAGGATTCTGATTAAGAGCACACGTCTTTTGACATATTTCTCAGCGGAATGGTGCAGACTTCTCAGTATTTGTCAACACAGCCAATGAGTTTGACGGGAGTGACTCGGGAGCACGGCCAGATGAGGCAATCTCTTGGGGCAAGATCAAAGCTTCTGCCACACCCGTCAAGGTAAATGGTTCGTGTGTTTGGGTGTGTGTTGGGAGATTGGAGGGGGGTCTCTTGTTGTCTTTTGTATTAACATTTTTGAAGTGCTGTTAGATTCTTTAAGACGATACACCTACATAGATGGATTTCTTTTTAAGGGGGGATGTTCTTTTTTACTCTCAGTTGATAATTGTTGAAGCACTATGGCATTTTTTAAAACGATACACCAATGAAGACGAGGGATTATATTTGTATGCATTTGGTAGTTTTTTGGTTGACTTCTGTTGCAATGTTGTTAGATTCTATAGAAGTAAGAAGAACAGGCTTATGGGTGAAAGGATTGTGAGCGATTTAATTAAAAAAACATACAAACCTAAGTGTTCGTACTTCCCTTGTAGTACTCAAAAGCAAGATCTCTACATGCCTGATTATAAGTCATTATAAGAGCTGCCTGCTTTTGTCCCACCTAGGATGAAGTAAAACCATTGGATTGCCTTTGTTTCATAATGTAGGATATGGATGGTGGTGTTTTGTGGTTGCTCTGGGATAGTTTACTCTCAGTGCATCTTTTCTGTGTAACAGTATCACAATCTGCTCTTTGCAAAATCTGTCGATTATCTCCCTGTTTCTAATGCTTCTCAGTGTTTTAGGTACTTATGCCTAACTCTTTGCAAAATGTGGTGGATGATGCATACACTCATTGTGCACTGCTTAGAATGAAGTAAGATGCCCGTACTACCTTGTGCTCAAACTTAAGATTATATATTTGATGTGCTAGTGTGGTCTTTCCTGTACTTTCTCTTCAGTGCTGCCAACTATTGTCCAGATCTGTTTATTTGCAAAAAAGGCGCTGTTGTGTGGATTCTTCTTAAACTGCTTTATTTGGCCTCCTATGGCTACTCATGTACTTCGTGTTTTGTTTTGCAGGTCTATGGAGAGGCATCTGTCATCTTCCCCATTCTCCTTGCTGAGAGTTTCGCTGGCAGAGAGAAGGAGTTTAAGGATTTCTATGCCAAGAGGAAATAACAGACACCCTCACATCACACCCCCCCCCCCCCCCCCAGCTCTTTGTAGACATAACTGTCCTCAGAGAAAGTTGCATTTGAAAATAGCGAAAGTTGCAAAAAGTTGCGACAAAAATTAGCAAAAGTTGCAAGAAAAGTTGCAAGATGCGTATAGTTAAAACAATGCCACAGAACTATTGGAATACATTGTTGCTGTGCTCATTGCTATCAAAAGTAACCAATATGAGTTTTGTTAGATCAAGATCAGAAGTTAAATTTGAATGTCTACAAAAAAAGCAACTGCATGGAGGTTGCATGGTGTACAAAAACAGTGTCCCCTGACACATGCGTCAGGTCCTGGCACTCTCGCTGACGTTGGGCAGGTGTGACCAGCGTGGTTTTGGGGCTGTTCAAATACATGTATAATCTTACATTTTTTTACACCCCCCCCCCCCCAATCCCGTAATATTACGTTATTCGCTTATAATAATAATATGACATTTATATTGCGCAAATCCGTGTTACAATCACTCTTCTATGCGCTTTACTTTTGAATTATTAATATAGTATTCATGAAAAACATGCATACACACATGTGACATAATAATTCAATGTGGTACAAGCGGAACTTTTCCAGAAAAACTTAAGGTGCCATTTTACCACTTTTACCGCACCGGTGTAATCAAAATTAGACTAGATCTACATGTCATGTAGCCCAGATATCTACCACAGCATAAAGTGCGAGATGACATATCATCATAATATTATATCGTGCTTGCCGCTCGAGGACCACTGTATCGCCACAATGCAGTGCTTACAGCTCGAACTTACACTAAGTGAATAGTGTAGTTACTCTTTGTCATAAATTATGTTTTCCTTGATTATTTTTCACCTTACAAAAGTGTAATCTTACATTGGTGCAACCCCCCCCCCCCCCTTTCTTCTTACACTTACTTTAACAGGAGTCAAAAACTCCCCCCCCCCCCCCCCTTTTTTTTTTCGAGGCGCAAGATGATATTATTTGAACGTCCCCTTTTGGGGTTTTCTGGATGAATCGATCATGTCTAGATTAGCCTCCTATAGCCTTAGATTTAAAGTCTATCTTAAATTTTTTTACTAGATCTATCTACCTGGTGCTACGGAACCAAACCAAGCAAGCTAAGTAATCAGACGACCGTGTTTACGATTGATTTACACTAGATCTAGAAAGACTAGAAGAGGATGATTCAGTCCAAAAAAGAATATAGGGGGGTTGGGTGGGGTCAGTTTGCTCGCCTGATGGTGCAAAGCGGCTATCGTGGCACAAGTCGATCACGCCCGACTCGTTGTTTTCAGGCGACGAGTCGGGCGGGCGATCATCCCGACCCGACCTGACCCGGTCCGGGTCACTGGGCGGCGGCGGGCACCCCGTAGTGCAAAGGAGCGAATTGTCCCCCTTGGCGTCGTTACTTTTAGTCGTGGAAGAAAATTTCGGAGTGTTTAATGAAATTTTATTATTATTTTCCCAAAATTTGCGGGAAATTGGCTAAAAAATTCACGAATTCACGAAAATGATAAAAGTTGCGCTGATGGCAAAAGTTGCGCGCGCAACTTGCGGGTTGCGGGAGCGAATTTCTCTGAGGACAGACATAAGAGTTTGGGACATGAACGACTGAGAGATGGCCTTCGTTTGTACGGTGCGAGAGCTGACTATGTCATCGAATGCTGTATACATTACTGGCAGGCAGGCAGGCAACTGTTGGTTCAAAATTTATTCAGTACCTAGACTGTGTTGTGCCGCATTTCTGGTATTTACTCTGAAAGCCGGTCATTTTGTCACATTAACTGATTACACCCGGAGCACAGTCTCAGTCGGCACTTGCCAAACGTTATTTCCTTGTGGAATGAGTCACTCATCATTTTTTGCATGGTTATAAATAGCGGTGCCTACTGCTATTTTTGGCAGTATTTTGCTACATCTGAACTGAATGTATTTGGGTCAAAACAGAAAGTTTTATAGCTAGTATCATTTTAAGTCAGCTTTTTAAAGAGAATTAATTTTTTTTAAAATCTGAAACGTTGGTTGAAATAACAACAGGCCCGTAAATGACCGGTGTTAAAATTGTCTGAAATTTTATCGACAGTCGACTACAAGCGCACCACAATCGATTTGCTGCATGAAACAATAAAACATGATAAGATCCTAAATCTGGAATTGTAACTTCTGTGAACGAAGAGGGCCATTTAATTCAAGCTGTATTTGTAGACTGAATTTAACCCCCCCAAAAAACTGAACCTACATGGCTGCAGACTTGATCAGGTGTAAGGGATGGGAAAGGACTTCTCTTGGCAGGTTTTCTGTTTTGTCCTCTTCTGAGGACAGGAAAGCTCCATGGAGCCTCCCTTTCTTTTCCTTTGGAGATGACAACTGGGCTCAGCTACTCCAAGAGCCTGCTCTTTGATTGCCAGTGCTTCTTTCCTTTTCTTCTGATTGGCTAGGTGTTTCTTGCTGGCATTCTGCATGTGGTAAGCAAAGGACTAGTCAACTGGTGAGAGACTGTCAGGTCTGTCATACAGCTGGCAAGTTGACTTGTTTTGTGCTAGGAGCCTGTATTTTACAGCTTGGATGGCTTCATAGGTGAGAGCCATAGAGGAGGCTGTCTGTGATAAGATCTGATTCATCATGCTGAAAGATGCTTCCACTCTTGGGCCTGTGAAAACTGACAGACATGTAGACTATTATGTGTCAAAAAAATTGCAAGTGCAAGTGAAGATCATAAGATAATTTTGTTATTTTCTGGTCATCTTTTCACGGTTTATAAAATGTTCCAGTGGGCCTACTACTAGTAGTACTAGATCTATGTCTCTGAAGAACATTTTGCTTGACTTTATCAGTTTTTTTCATGTACTTGAAAGCATAGAATATAATAGTTTCACACAAATGTATGCACAATACCTTGAAAAAGAAAGATAAGGTCATTGTTGTTGTTTTTTAATGGAATCCGTTTTACGTTGAGAAAAGGAGCTAAAAACAAGTTAAAAATTTTAAAGAATGCCCATAATATTAGGAATCCGAAATTACTACCTTGATCTAGTTTGCTTACTCTTTAATAACCATGAGCTGTTAAGAAAAAAAGAGAATGATATAGGATTTGTCTAAATATGACCATTAGTATTAGCATTATAAAGATATTGCCCATTTTGTCCACTTATCCTTGCAGGTAAAATCACCCTGTACTGCACCTCAATAAGCACAAAAAGAATATTTCTGTGACTTTGTATAAAGGTGTTTTGTAGTTGAGTTCTACGTAAAATTCTCAACAAAATAATGTACATTTGGACCGTACAAATGAGATAGACACTCATGCGCACAATAACATTCACACATTACACACATACACAAACACACTATTACATTTACTCTCTCTCTCTCACCACAACCACACACAAAACAAACACATACACACACGCACACACAGACACACAACTCTTACCCTTAGTCCACTTATCATTTAGTATCATCCTCTATTTTGAAATAATCCCCCGCACTAAATAAAAAGATCAGTAGAATCTCCACCATCCGAATCCATGGTTAGTTCAAGAAATCTACCATATGATGTGGCCTAAATAAGATAAGGGAGGGGGGTTTAGCTTATTTGGGCCACAGTGTGGCCTAAATAAGGTCACCCTTTCTTCTTGTCTTCTTTTTCCTTTTCAAAGAATTTCCGAAGAGGAGCCCAGTTGTCGACAAGCCTGTCCAAACACCTTCCAATGCTGAGCCACCGTGTGGCAACATGCTTCAGCATACTCTTCTGTTCTCTGCCATAGAATTCCTGAAACTCTGAGAGACTCTGTTGCCTGCAAGAACTTTTCTTGAAGTAGTAAAATATGTCAGTGAGCAGATCAGCTGGACTGACAGGCAGTGTGTTTGCAGCTTTCTCAGTTGCCAGATGGACAAGATGTTTTGTACATAGAGCCAGAAAAGCGTCTGGATTCTTCTTCTTAATGAAGGCATACACACCTTTATGCACCCCTGCCATCATAGATGAGTTGTCACTCCCCAAAGCGATGCAGTTTGACCAGGCAATGCTATTTTCTCTTAAAAGTTCGTGCAGCAGTTTGAAGATGTTTTGAGAGCAGGGAGGGCAAGAAGTTCAGACTCAATAAGTAGAGCGTACGAGTTGACCGTCCTTATAATTTTATCAAAATTTTGAGTTTGATTGCCTACTAGTGTGCTGTGTATGGGCCTGTATTTCAGGGATAATGGTGACTGTAAACTGGAACAAATTCATCCAAACTTGTTAATTTAATTTATTTTAAATTATTATACCCCTTTATGGCATAGTTGCTCTTAAATTATGACACAAAGACTGTACAACCTCTTCATTTTAATAACCCACTCAATTAACTCTCCAGTAGTATCAAATATGTATACCTTTCTTAAAAAAATATGGCATGGCAGCAGAGTTAGTTTGAATGAGGTTCCCTGTGGAAATGAGGGCTCCTCAGTAAATCAATTTCAGCATAATGGGCCGGTCAGTGGGAAGAAAATTCTTGGCACAACTAGTTTAGTCATCTGTTAATGTTATGGAATAACATCAAGAGGCTGCCCCAAGATAGAGAACGGTGGAAAGTGTTAGTTCGTGGCCTATACACTGGTGCAGTGTGAGAAAGACAATGATGATCTGTTAGTGTTAGGCTCACAGACGTTGCCTCCTACGTCTTCTATAAAGTGACCCGTACCAGTTTCATCAGTACTACTGACTGCTTGTACTTCCATATATAGTCAAAGAAGTCTTAATTCATATATAAATCTCTTGTTTCCCGCTCCTGCCGACCTACTTACTTACCTTTTCTTTTTCTGTCTATTTGTACCTCAAGATTTAAAGGGGAGATGCAATCTGTTGTCGGAAATGGATCAAGTGTATTGTCTTTTGGACTGTCATGCAGATTGTTACCCTGCTGACTTGTACTTCAAATACAGAATGGTACAAAAGAGTATTGGCACTGAGATTTTCCTTTTCCCTTGATAAAAGTGGATGCTCTCAAAAAAAGGATATCCATTTAAATCTTTGGAAAAGATCACTCTCAGTTCACCAAC